GTTTCGGAAACTGGATCTGTTTCCGTCCTCCTTCACCTGAGGACGGAAACAGATCCAGTTTCCGAAACGTCGTGTTTTTATTTGTTATCTTAAAAACCAGGACGATGGATAAAGTCCAAAATCCCAACATATCAGAGTTTTGGAAACTGTTTTCATCATTAAACCCTTTTAGTCTGACAGGGCCAACCACAGTAAATTCTGCGTTCTGGTCCTGTATTGGTCTCAGCCGCCACGTTTTTTAAATGTTATAGATGATCTGGAGTCAAGCTGAGGTAAATAAATAGTGTCACTGTGTCATTCAAGCCTTCCACTTTGCAGTGGTGTTAATAAACCATTCGTTGCAATACTTTTGTGAATTTTAAACAGATTTTTTTCAAACATCTACATATATTTTTCTCTATAGTTATATCCCAATGGTATCTTCCAGTGGGAATGCACTGGGCAGCAAAGATTCATGAACAACCGAGTGATGACTTGCACTCTTTCAGTAAATTTAGTCATCACTCACATATTGCTATATCTAACTGTTACTGACTCTGATGCCAAACACGTGGACCTGATTTGAGTGACAGCTGTAGTAATTCTGATGACTGTCAGGCAAGTGCAAGTGTAGACAGTGGTGGTGGTGGTGGTGGTGGTGAAGATGATGAAGCCTATGATAATGAAGACTGGGCTCTCCAAAATAAAAAATAACCATGATTTATATGATACGATTTCATGCCTCACCTGGTCATAAACCACGTCAAAACAGCCAAATGCTTGTTTCTCCACACAGATATTTTATGCTATTTTTAAATAAATACCTGATGAAACTAAAGATACGTAAGCAAAAACTGTTGAAGGATTGGTAGGAAATGTTCGAAACAAAATTACCCAAAAGAGAGGAAGACCAAGTTGAACATGTTCAGAAGACCATCTGAATGTCAAACTGCACTAATTCAGGCATGATGGGAAGGCAACAAATGATCATGCAGTCTTCTCCAACAGAGAAGTGAAATGAGGCAGAACAGAAATGTTGGAAATGTCATTTTTATCGTGACATGTCCAAGGTAGCCAGGACTCCATTCCAGCAAGTGTTTTGCTATCTATCACACAGTGAAAAAGTATTGTTTGTTATGTTACTAATAGAAATATCTGATAAAGTTAAAAAAAAAGTATCCCAGCTTTCCCGTAGAAAATTATATTCTTTTATTACTACTTTTTATGCAAAGAGTAATATGTCACTGATGCATGCATGTTCAGTGGTCCTCTTATCACATATTCTTTATATGCACTGACTTCATCATTTACTCTTCGGAGTGAGTTTCATTTTATGGTGCTGACCTCAGTCTTCAACTTATTACAACCAACAGCCCCAAAAGGTAACATACCCGGGAGATGATGACATCAAATACCTGCACCCCATAAGTGAGCACATAATATGAGATGTTTAGATGCTAAACTGATATTCTAAGAACTGTGCTTGGTTTATCCATAAAGAACATTATATCACAGTCAGAACTTTTATCTTTGCAGAATATATTTTGATCAAACTTAGCAATGTTTCTTCCGTTTTACGCAAGTTATAGAAAAAAAAACAAACCAGTTCATACTAGTAGCTGCAATTAAGCAGGTCAGTATTATTTAAATACAAGCAGCAGAGAACCATGATGGTACTTAAATTGGACTGCAAAGAGCAGGTGGCTAACAGCTCAGGTGGGTCCGTTAGATACATGTCATCTCAGTCATGGGACCTACAGGAAATACCAAGGAATCGGTCCATATGGCCTGCCTGATGAAACTATGGGTGGGGGAGAGCAATCGAGACTAAAAGACCAAACCAAGCAGGTGTCTCCCAACCCTCCCATCTGAGGACGGAATCAGATCTACCTACTCAAACATCAAGTGCTTCAGAATATTTGCCAACGGACAAAGCCCACAAACTCAGTAATTCTGGTAATCACATTTGATTTTTGGAGGTAAAGGTGAGATCTACTGACATGACTAATGTAAAAAATGAACACTCCAAAAATACCAATTTAGCTTCATAAGGCACTTCTCCTTACATATCATACGTAAACATGAGCACTCTTGATGTTCAGAATGAGGCAATACTGCAAAAAGCACTAACTAAATGACAGCTGACAGTTACGCTTGTGGTTATGGTACCTAAGGCCCATCCATCGCTGTCAACACAAACGCCTATCATGAACCTTATCCTGAGGCAGCTCACCAATATCACATCCTTATTAATAAAACTACACAGAGTACCTAAAAATCATTCAGTGTTTCAGCAATTTTGCTATTTGATTTAAAATTAATAATTTATTGTTAAATTCACAAGATTCACACACACTCACCTCAACAGTATGATCCAGGATCATATGAAGTGCAGCTTTATATTTTTCAACTGCTTTTCTGGACAGTCCACTTGCCATTATTTCGGACCCCTCCTTCAGAAGTGACTGAAGCTCCTGAAACGTAAATCATAATTAAATTCCTCGGATATTAATAACATGTTTAATAAATCACAACGAACTTCAAACCTGAACCACATTTAACACTAAATGGAGAAAATTAATTGCATTAAGAAGCTGAACTCTATATGCAAGGTACCTACATTTATCAAAGTATCAAACAACTTGAAAATCAGGCAATTTACTTCCACGTGATGGTTTACAAGACAATGAGTCATGTGACACTACCTCACATGAAGAAGCTCTCTCCTGCTTATACATTAGTTACCTATGATAAATGGAGGTTACTCTCTGAACAGCCCTCCTATAAAGTCAATAGTACATATTTAAGAAAAGGGTAAAAACATATACTTCTGCCCCTTGCATATTTTGCTTACAAACTTAGTTTTAAAAAAATAATTTGCTCTGCAAATGTTTTTGAGCATCATGTAGCAAATATTAAAAGTTCTCAGACAGGTTCATAATACAAAAATTAGTATCACCTTTGTGACTTACGATTTCAGCATGACAAGCAGAATTCTTTTTTAGATGGAGTGCTCTTGAACTTTCATCTAACCAACTGACAAGGCTGACTTCCAGAGATTTTATGACCTCTTACTCCCTGCTCACTTTCTCTCATTAACTACTGTATTTACGCATGTATAGGCCGCAGCACAATTTTCAGACAGAAATTATAGAAAAAATAATTTTCTTGGAATATTATTTCAGAAGTAGAAATTATTCCGAAATTTGGCAACGTTAATTTTTTTTAAAATGAAGTGTGAGTTCGAATATTTCAAATATAAGCTGCACCCCAGTTTTCCTCTTAAATTTTTTGGCAAAAAATGTGCGGCCTATACATGCGTAAATACGGTATATATTATGCCACCATGCCTGCCTACACTATGGATAGCAATGCTATTCACACTGAAAACAACTATTATTGGCTTTCTGCTTTATGCAAAATTACGATGTTTTTGCATGCTAAATTAGTAAGAAAAATGCATCATTTCTGAATTTTCTGATGATGCATTACACTTAGGATTAGTGAGTTTCTGGACTTTGCTACACAGTTTTCTGGGGGGGGGGGGGGAAAANGGGGGAGAAAAAAAAACATTTTGAAACTTGATCTGTCTCCATCGTCAGATGATGGACAGGGAGACGCCTACCCAGTTGGGGCAATTGCAAAGAGCTAATCTCAAGCATCAGACTTGTTCTTTCACAATACCAGATGACAAAATTCAAAAGTTCAGTAATCCAAAGAATAAACTTATATTTAGATAAATATGGTATACCATATCCACTGATATCCACTGTATCACAAAATGCTACTGTCAGAGTTTGTGCAGTTACATGGGCAAGACAAGATTGGTCATTAGGCAGGGATCCAACAACTCAGAACATGAGTGGGGAAGGAACTCCTTGATCTGAACAACTACACAAGCAGACAGCTGTCTTTGTGCTGCGTGTCATAACTCGGTGCAGTGTGGTGCTTTGATGAAGCAAGACGTGTCTTACTTTCGAACACAGAATGTTTGTTGCAGAGCATTATTTTACCAGTAAATCATTTGTGTTGTGACAAGCTTTCCAAGACATGTTTCCAAAAACAGGCAGTGCAAAACAAAACTGAATTTCATCTCCTAATGAGGAAATTATGTGGGAATGGAAGTGTGTGCAATCAGAAATACAACAACACTAAGCAACAACACACTCGAAAACATGAGGCTCAGTTTACTGCAGTCCACTAACAGATCACTGAGAAAAATGTCTCAGCATAACATGTCAGAAGGCAGTGCACATACAGATGAGAGTGCTCATCATGTAACCTATTGCATTCAAGAGATACAAGAGCTGATTTCTTAAAAGTATTTCACTGAACGACAAAATTTTCTATTCAGATGAAACATGGTTCCATTTAAGAATCTATGTGAACAGTCAGAACAGTTAATCAGAGTTCTAAGAACCTGCCTGTTTATCATGACTCTCCATTGCAAAGCTGAAAATCAGGCATGTGGTCCATGATTCTTGGAACACAGTTAATGGTCCAATATTCTTTTAAATGCAAAATATTGTTATGACGTCCTAATGCAGATCACCTCTTTGCTGGAGGCTGATAAGAGGGATTCATGGTATCAACAAGACATAGTTACCTGACATACATCATGAACAAGCATAGTATTCTTGCGAAAATTTTTTGGATGTCAGTCGATTCTGCAGGGACTGTGGCCCCCCGATGATCCCTCAAACTTTCTTCACCTTATATTCTCTTATGGGGCCATCTCAAACAATATGTATACAACAGTGACTTCATAGCATATAGGAAAAGAAAACAATCAACGAACAAAGTTCGTTCACAGCATTCTTTAGACCCACAATTTCATGAAATGAGAGGATGGTTACATTCAGGAAAGTGGTGACCAATTTTAACACATACCATAAAGTATACTATTTGTACAGTACAATACTGTATATATTGAGTATTATACTGTACATAATTATTCAGTATTATAAGATGACCAGGAACACGTGAGAAGATATCAGAATAAATTCACCTATCTAAAACTGTTTCAGAGCTCTTGACAGGGGCAGCTGAGTCTCAATGCGAGATATAAGTTGATGCAAACAACCAGTGCAAGAAAAACAGAAATGAAATGGTGCATACTATGAGACAAGCAGTTGAGTGCTGGCAGCGATAAGAAGCAAGACAAAATGAGTGCAGTGGTGTACAAGAAAATAGTAGTGAACAAAAACAAAACAAACCTCAATACCTTCTTAAGTGCCTACCGGTAATGATAATGACCGTTCCTACACACAATACATGTTACAGTTACAACATTAACATCTGTTTAGAAGCAACCTAAATACAGTTCCATGATCGAAAAAATTACTCACGTTTCGCTGCATACTCCAGAACTGTTCTGGTGTAATTTCTTTTACTCCCATCTCTTTCTTTATAGTTTCCAGTGTCGCAATAAACAGACCCTTTTCTTGGCGGGCTGTCTTCTTCTTCATCTTTGGTTTATTTTTTTTAATGTCTGTGTAACTATTGCTATCACGGGACACACTAACGCTACGCTGGTTAGTAACGGATGTCTGGAAGTACAAAAATGGGACATTGCGGAGACCAGTCTTTCTATTAAGAAAACATACTGGAACAAAAATGAACTCGATGAAACCAATAATCGAAGCCAAACAATTGGAAAGAGTGATGAGCCATTTGTAACACCACTGCACAATTAGGGAGACGGGGATCAATCAATAAAGTACAATTTATTAATTCCACTTTGGATACACAAGTAAGTCAATCATGCTAGTCTCCCATGTGATCAGATATCAGACAGACATGACTAGACTCTGCATACAACTGTCTAAAATTCTACAGTTTCAAGATTACATGATTTGTGAAAATCTGATTCAGTGCTCAAGAACAAATAACCTTCTAAAGGGACCAACTCTTGAGTAGAAGAAAGTACCAAATAATGAAACCTACCAACGGATATGGTTGTGAGCCACCTGAATCCAGGTCAGCTATTCACAACCAATTCAATTCATTTTCATTTTAACCTCACGGAACAAAGTAAGTACTCATAGTATTAAAATAGTCAAGGCACGCTTGCCAACTGGAGGCAGTGAATGTTTTGGCAGCTACAATTGCAACTATTGTGCTGGAGTATGTCGATGTTACAGTGCATGTTGGTTCAATGTGGGTGCTTCCCACAACAGCATTTCTTTGCCACCTTTTAGATGAAGAAAAACTAGATATAGCATTCGACCTTGAAATATCATGGTTTCCAATGGTCTAGTTAATTCTTTCACTTTAACACTTACACAAGCACTACAGGAAATGTTTTATGACCTTCAAAAATCTACATAATGGAATTCAATAAGGTGCTACCTAATCCATCAGGTAATCTAGAAACTAGCAACATACTTGACTTTCTGGAAGTATCTAGTGACAATGAATTAAAACAATAGCAGAGGGGTAAAAGTTTCTGAGTGCAATAATAATACTTCTTCCGTAATAAACTTCGGATAGAAGAAAACCAAACAAAATACAAGGGTGAAGTGACCAAGATTACAGGACTGAAAGTGATGGAAGAAAAAAGTTGATTTTTACAGTCCTAACTAAATTCACTTTTCTGAAAACGCTGATCGCAACACACTTGTTGGAACTGCATCAGAAGCCTTCAAACTATATTCTCATGGTTAACTTATGAACACAACAGTTACTGAAACAAACCTATTTGGTACGCTGCAAAATTCAGACACATTTATAAGGCTGAGCTAAAAAAAACAATTCCATGTTTTCAACTGTAAACACAAAAGGATAAAATACACATATTTCCCTATTAACACAGCAACATAAAGTTGTCTCTTTGCTTAACTAAGCACACCACACCACAAAGATGTATAGTGGAGTAGAGAAAAAAGTTCCAGAAGCTGGTCTGCGCACTGTGAGGAAGATAAAAATCTTGGCCCCTGCCAGGACTCAAACACCAATTTCATGGTCATCAAGTCTGCAGCCTAGTCACTGTAATGACTGTGCTAACACAGGAAAGACATGAATTGCTTTCATGATTATTACATTTTGTGAACTCGAAAGTTTTGAAGTAAATAAATAAAACATCGTTCAAAAGCTGTTTTGATTCTGAACTACCTATGCAGAAAATTCTGCACCCTCAATGAACTGAAAGAAAACATATCACTCCCTGAATCCTGGACTTGTGGAAGAGGAGAACACGCAGAACAAATCCCTGAAGTCTGTCCTTCCTCTAAGGATACTGGCACAAATTTATCATATACAACAGTAACACTAAAGATCTGACAGGCAGTGTTGCCACACTTGTTGGTCCAAATGCATGTATCATAATTAAAAACTTGGTAGAACCAATATTTGGCCAAGGACATACATTACAGGCAGACAGCCATTATAATCTGCCAGATCCCTGTCCTTCCTAAAGAAAAACGGTGCACAGGTAGCCGGGGCACTGCAATTAAGTCCGAAGTGTTTTCCTATAATTGCAAAAGGAACTAAACCACAACACAGTAATCATATTGCTATGCAGTCAAAGCACAATGGTGATGAAATGCATGGACAAGAAGCTCATTTCATAGCGATAACATGGTTACAGCCTCCAAGAGGCAAAGAAAGAAGAAAACCAAGACATACATGGGAGTGACTGATCAAAAACTGCAGCTATATGAAACTGAGAAGAATGATGGCAAAAAATTGTAATTATCTTACTGCTGCTGTCTCTCTTCCAAGTGTCTACTTTCTATATGATTTCCCTCACCAATATTCAGTGTGCATTTTTAATTTCCCCAATCTAAGCATATATATCCAGCCCATCTGTAAGAGGCAAAGAGTAAAACTATCCCTGTAACAGGCCATGAAGGCCCATAGGGTTGAGAGATGTTGAATCTCCCATATTTTCTATACAATCAGCTCACAGGTAGTGACGAGGTTGCCAGCCTTACACACTAGCAGCCCTTTACCCCCCCCGGAACGATTCCCGGAACTCATTTCTGTTAGAGGTCGGGAAGTTCGTTAGGAAACTTTCCTTGTTCTGATTTCACTTACCTCTTTTACATACAAATACATTCAAAACAATACGAACCACTATAGACATATATTTGTTATTCAAACATGTTTTAAAAGTCAAAGTGGCATATGAAACATGACGATGAATGAAATACACTAATCTCTAGTTCCACCAAAACATGCTTACCAAGAACATAAAATAAGATGGTACCTTATTAACGCCCAAGAATGATGCACTGGCAGGCATTCTGGATGTAGATCGACTCCGCAGCTTGTCGCTGTTCATGTCCTCGTCAGAGTCAGAATCTGAGGTTAGAGATGGTAAATCCTCCTACAAGAGTGAGAAAGAAATCCAATACTGCATACACACCATAGCTCGAATCCCTCATGATTCTCCAACAGTCTTTAATAATACTTATCAAGAATGGGGGTAGCATTAGAAAAGTGTGTTTTGTTTATGCATGATGCCTATTCCATCTTAGGTGCCGTGTCATAAATCACATGGATCTAAACTAGATGTCAGGGTACAAGCAGCAAACTGAATAATTTCAATTGTACAGTTCAACTATATGATTTCTGGTTGCCACAGACTACCAAACATGTATGGAATGACTTTAAAATCTATCACACAAAGAATATCCTGAGTTAACAGTGTTACTGATCAACTGCATACCTCAAGTTTCAAACACGTGACGCATAAGCTGGACATAATGAGTACTGCAGGGTTAAAATGGATCAGACTAAACCAAAATCAAAGTATGTATATGTCTAATATCAATTTTCAACCAAAATGGTAGGAAAATCTGTGTGCTATTGCTTGCTGGCAGGCAGACAGGCATAATACAATAAGTAGTCCTCTAACTGCTCCAACGAAGGCTGCAAAAATGTGACCATTAGCTTCATCACGTCAGTCTGCCTGTCTGCCCATACAAAACAACTCGAGAACAGCTGGACAGATTTTAATTTAATTTGAAATGGGGAATTCCAATAAGCCCGGTCAACATATTCAAATTTTAGTTACAAATGGACATAAACTGACACATTACATTAAGACATACAATTTTGCATGCATCCTGAACATAACATGCCAAACATTTATTCAAGGACAATCAATATAAATTTTGGAATTGTATGTAGTTTAGTTCATGTTCTTACCAACAGCAATATGATGCCTCAATTTGAAGATTTCATTCTTGACTTGCTACATATGTACCACAACGAAAATTATTTCAAAGAGAAGTTCAATACAAAAATGAAACATGCACTTTACAACCAACACAATTTTTCTGCAAGTAACATGGTTTTTAGAAGAAACAAGAGACTGCACCAGAATTTCTAATCTGCCAACATTTCCTGAATTCTTTAATACCTTTTTTGAATGCAGCTAAACAGAAGTGTGTGTGTAATTTTGGTTTAACAGTCTCTCTTCTGTCCATGTCATGATACATTTCTGGATGAATTATGAATAAACCTTTAACTGCCATAAAAACAAAGATATAAGCCAAAAGAAGGTCCAATTTGGCCATGCCATAGCTCAAGCGGTTAGTCGCTGGCTTCCCACTGTGGTGGCCCGGCTTTCGTCAAGTGGGATCTGTGGTGGACAAATTGGCGCTGGGGCAGGTTTTCTCCGAGTACTTCGGTTTCCCCCTGCCAATCTTCATTCCACCAACTGCTCCACAATCACCCTCACTTATCATCTGGATCTGGTACAATAGGCCAGAAGTGGCCGCAGTAAAAGGGACTTAGTCCCAACCCACTAGCATTAAAAAAAAAGAAAAGGTCCAATTTGAAATCTGTGTGCATATGAACCTCTGCAAATAATTCATTCATTTATTTGCAGTTCTACAAAATCCATGGAGGCGTCTGCCTCAGAAACTGAACAAGTCAGCAATACAACATAACATGTGAATATACATACATAATCAGATAGTCATCTTCGTCAAAATTTTAAATACTCAACACAACAAGACTACTGTACAACAATACATTCCATATATCAAAATAACATATAAAATTACATACATGATCAAGAGACAACCAAGACTCTTAATATAGTCATATAAAATCAACCAAACTACATAATAATTCTGTGGCAACAGAACCAACAGGTTCAAATCTGCCTTACTGGGGCCTGCCACTGTATGAAAATTCCTTGCAACTTATTCCCATTTAACCTTTAAGTGCCGAAGTGCCAAGTTTGTGCCAGTCATGAGTAAGGTCGTCGTGGCCAAAGTACCCAGTTGTGGCCAGTCAGGCATTTAAACTCCGCTAGTGGAAGCGCGCGCACACGCCGCTAGTAGAAGCGCATGCACAGTCCTGAATATTTATTTTTAAATGTAGTAATTACCAGACCGACTTAAGTAAAACCCTAATAGAGGAATTAAAATAATACCTTACTGAACAACAGCAAATAAAAATATACGTATGAGTTATGCCAAAACTTATCCACAATCCAGTAATTTTGTTGCAGATTCTGCAGATAGGTATGTTAAAAATATAGTGTAAAATTCGATGTACATACCTTTTTTGTTGTTACCTTCTTGATGTATATATAGGTTCAAATGAAACTACAGTATTCGATTTCACTACGAACGCACACAAAAGAGATCACGCTCTGTATCTCAGCNGCCAAGACAGTGTGGTGTGTATGCATTAACAGAACCAAAGCATTAACCCTACAAACCCTAAACCAAGAGGTAATTTTTTTGTGGAATTCTACAGAAATTAATTTTTGGGATGGCGAATATAAAATGTGTTCAAAATTCTTGTCCCAAATTAAATATTTTATGATGTTTAACATTCTTCAATAAATGTAATTGCTTCATATAAGAACAAGAACTGTTATGAACATACAGCAGCTTACATCAAAGCCAGGGTTAGCACATACTTGTGACAAATTACTTATTAGTATAAGAAAAAGGCACTTACAATTTCATTAACATCCTCTTGCGGACTTTTGGAAGTAACACCTATGCCTGCACAACAAAGAAAATTCAATCCTTTATTGTAAAAGCATCAGTAATGTTAATCTGTGTTTGATAACATAATCATATCTGATTAAAATACATAAAAATATATACATGTGAGTGGTGTAACATACATTGTTCTATAGAAAGTTTTTTCATGATTACTAAGAAGTAGGTTGGGTATCAGATAGCACCATAGACAAACATCTGTTAAATCCTTACAAATGTAAATGAAAATTCATCTTCAAACAACAACAAACAGAAAGATACCATACTGGAGTCTATTTTCAACAGAATGCTTAACCTGACAAAGCTCATGTCCTGTTTTTGAAAACCAATGAGAGCACTGAGTCTGAAAAACCCTGAGAGACTGTGCTTATATTGAGACATATGAAATCTTAAATTATTTAAACTGAATAATAATGAAGTTTGGAGTGTTTTAATCAAATCTATGACATCACATGACCTTCAGCCAAATAGAGAATGTGTCACAACATTCAAACCTATAAAAAACATTTATTTCTTGACATATCTTCTGTCAGCATCAACACACCTGCTCCATTGTTTTACCAGTGCGCTGAAACTAGCAGCATGGAAGTCTTTTGACTGCTGTCTTAGCCACTTCTGCCCCTACATTTCACTGTCTTCATCATCAGCAAAACATTTCCTACACAGTTGTGAACCACTTCAGGGGACAAACACCACCACAAATAGGAAACATTCATTTATGAATATCCTTTGCACAGAGTACTTCTGCCCACAAAAAATGCACAACAGAACACTGCTCTTTGGTAATATGCCCCTCAAGCACCGTCACCATTTTGACTACCAATACCAGCTTCTGAACATGTGCATGTTGAAACTGAAGTTTTAAAAAGTGCCAATTTTGGAAATCAAATTGACGTCTGTAGGTTAACAAAGATTTTATACATACAGACAATTGAAAAGACTGGTGTTTTAAATTTTAAACTACGGGCAGTGTAGGAGCTACGTAAGAATATACACCTGATGATGGCCATTTAGGGCTGAAACATGTAGTGTGGAGGAAGGAAAGATGGAAGAACTACAATTAAATTGTTGCACTTAAGACGGAGTTTGTCTCGTATGATGTGCATGTGCATGTGCTACATTCACTGGCATGAAGATGGAATGTGCTGCTACCTAGTGATACATACAGAAAACCTACTATGTCCATTACAGCTGTTTTACTTCCATTGGTGACCCATTTACTGACTCTCCTCACAGATATATAAATTCTCTACCATCACAGGCTGTTAAAATCATATAAGCATGGATATACTTTCAATTATTAAATAAATATGGAATTTGTGGGGGGGGGAACAGAATTTCAAGAGCCTGTGAGGCAAGACATTGGTTATAAACAGAATCACCTTTTCCCAGCAGTTTTAAGGAAAGACCTTTGGTTGTAGAAGTTTTTTTTTCTGGACAGGTAAATAATCTGCTGTGAACAGCAGGTGGGAACAGACTGTAGGACAACTGCTGGGTGGTGAAGTGGACAGGAATCAGAACATAGCGATGAATAACAAAATAAAAGGATCTGAAAGGAAGCAATCATGTCTTAATCATTATTATTATTATTATTATTAGAGGGGGTGGGTTTCCCCATTCACTTAGACCAGTTATTGGTCCATTGTGCGTCCCCCTTTAATTTCTACTGTCCCCCTACCCTACCGGTATGGTGCGTGCTATCAGCCCCGTTCAGCCAATGAGGTCGGCCGTCGGTACTTGATATTTCCCCCATCTCCCAGAGGTGTTGGAAACTACTTGGGTGGGAAATTGTTGCCTAATTTCGCTCAGAGGTCTCCTAGAGACATGAGGATCTTTTATGTGCCGTAAATCTACGACACGGAACCCACGGCTTAAAGTCCCTCCCAGAGGACTTCTTCCCTGAATATTTCCGCCCTTAAAAATAATAATAATAATAATAATAATAATAA